CCAGTTTGCCAACAGGATAGAGTGAAATTCTCACCTCTGTGCGTGCGCAACTGTTTACGTGTCGCAAATAATTTTTTTTTTTTTGTTATTACGTAAAAAACAGACAAACAGCATTCTTTTCTTGTACATAACTAAGCTCTACACATAATGCAGTGCGTATGTAATGTATAGTGCCTATCCTGCGTTTTTTTAATCAAGAACTAGGACTCTCCGCTTAATGCGGCCGCCGCTTATTAAGCCCAATTGAGTCTGGGCCCGAGGTGGGCTTAATAGCCGGCGACTACTGTATTATCATCTTTTTCGATTTACAGGAGTTCTTGTTCTCTATTTTTTGGCGGACTTCAATATTCGATCCTTGTTGAATTAGAGAAATCGAGTTTGTGTTTATAATTTACCGCAAATTTTAGCTTGACAAAACTGCAGCCTTCTTTTACCAAATTTTCAAGTCACCAAACGCAAAAAAGAAATAGAAATCCACCTGGAGTATTTTGTCCTTATAAGAAGTGGAAAAAGAGAACTGCTGTTGGAAGAGAGGGTCCAGCGTCCTCCTTGCAGGCGCCGATGTTCGCATCTTCTCCACGGATTGCTTTCCATCCAGAAGATGCAGTTTTACGTAAGGGGTAGGAAGGGGCTTTGAAGTGTTCTTCTGCTGCAGACCACGGGCCCTTATCACCTCCACTTCTAGATGCCCCTTGCGGTCGAAGAAGCTCAGCTGAATCTCACCAAGGCAGGGCATACCAAGGACCTGACGTCCGACCAACTGACCCGGTCCAAGACCTTCTACAAACTCACCTAAGTGCGCTTCTCCTCTACAATAATTAGAGAGCAATACAGTTAATAGAGGTTGCAGAAGTCAGCCGCGTCTGCAATGTCCGTGAGAGTCGAAGTGGTGCTAGTCACCCTGCCATTGGGAAAGAACTACCCGTTCTGGGGAGGTTACTCAGAGTTAAGCTTAAACATGTATGCTTACGTAGAATATAGATAGATAGCAGGGAAATCTCACTCAAAAAGCCTCATGGTTAACATCATTAGTAATTTGCATATTGCCTAAGTCAAATTAACTCTCTAAGGACTGCTCTATTTGCCATGAAAGTTGACCTTCATAGGTGCAGCCTCTTAATCGCCACCATAACAACAGCGGCTACGCGTTTCGAATTGAACGTTGTGAAAGAAAGCAACAGCTATTCAAATTTCTTTTTAGTCGGATGTCACACGTTGAGCAACTCCGAATTCCGACGTAAATTTATAGTCGAAAAAACTATAATGCCGGAGAAGGCTTCAGGTATGGGCGATGTTGACTGTGTCTTGGAGACGAATTAAGGCTTGCGGCGTGATAACTTGTCATCCAAGCACGTGTGTAGTCCAGTCGAAGATAAATAGTTTTTTCAGCTGTCCGAGCCTTTGGAGCCTGAAGGACTCAATTGATAGAAGAAACTAATCTTCAATTATTCAAAAGGTATTTCAGTAGTCGATTCCGGCTAATCTAGAAACATCCGCACATGACATTCCGACCATCGGTTTCGACAAGGTCCACCGCGTGCTTCAGTAAATTGAAGGCAAACGCGGTGATTTACGCGTGAGTTTTAAGTGGCAGTAGACTTGCGTTGAATTTACCGCGCCTGCTCTCCCCTAACCCTCCCGAACCAGGTGACCAGCTAGAGGCAAGAAGACCGTATGCGGGAGAGAGCGCAGGCGACTGGCACGGCTGGAGCCGCCCCCTAAGAGTACCGCCACAGCTGGTTTGGTTCCCAGTTGAGTGGGAGTGTCATAAAGACCACAAAAAAGAGGAACCACTGAAGCTTGACTCCCAGTTCGCCAGTTAGCTAGTGAACGCAACACAAAACACTTGACTAACTACACAGTCGGAGTTATCGCGTCAGTTGGAAACCTTCCAAGCAGCGGCATTTAGCGCATCGTGGTAGCTTCAAGCGCTTCAAATTGTTTATAGTGAGGGAGGTGCGATAAGCGGTCGACCCCACTATCTTATATTATTGCCCCTACCTCCAGTACCAACTTACTGTCCGAACAGGTCCGTTGTCTGATGTGGGATGCCAAAGTTGCCCAAAGCCTAGAGTGGTAATAGCGTCTACCTCATGAAATACTCCTAGAAATTCTGAAACACGCTTTTATTTAGAAAGGATTACTTGATTAACGTTTGGTTATCGATTATAATGCAGGAAAATTTGGCAGGAGTTTCCTTGGTAGTGGTCTCGGATACAGAAAGCCGTAGGTTTTT